TTGTATGATATTGTCTTCTGACTCAGAGTAAATCACCCAGATTTAATTGAGATTTCAAAAGTAACCAGGTATCTTAGCAGTGTAAACATCATGACTAAACAACTCATTATACAGATTGAAAGAGATACAGTTCACTTCACAGTGTAAGCATCAAATGAGTGGCTTGGTTTGGAGGCATTGTTTGAACAAGTACACAAAATCTAAGATTTTGGTCATCAGTAACTGATCGAAAGATTCATGGGTCAGATGCCAAGAAATATCTTCTACTACTGCTGTAAGCCCTGTAATGATAATCTTCACATCCACTACTTTTCCTTCCTTTGGAACAGCACTGATGTCCAAGAAAGCCCATATACCTCTTTCTGATGTCCACAGGGATGTAAGTCTGGGTGGCACTCTCCAGAAAGGTCTGGTTTAGAAGGATATTTTGTATAGTCAGAAACAAGAACGATGCATTGACACAAAGGTGCTGGGGCATATAATGACCCCTGTTTACTTCTCCTCCATGGCTGATCTTGATTTCTATTTGAATTTTTCCACTAATCGAACCAAAATCTTTCTCACTGTTGTAGTATGAATTATCAAAGTGAGCATCATCATCAGGGAGCTGCTATTTCAATAGGTGGCTTTTGTTCAGCTGATGCATATGTCCCCAGGACAAGATGATGAATGCTGAAATCTCTTCCTTCTGGTATGGTTACATCGTGAAGCCACATGCAGTTAGGCTGGACCACTCCAGTGTATAGGTCATCATCAAATCATAAAGGAAAAGGTGTTCTTTTTCCATATTTTGTGATCCTCACTGATCACACCTTCTTTCATGCATCATCAATGGCTTCTTCCTTTCCAGCCATGGTGGGCAGGCAAGGGGGTATTGGGGGGAGGCTGCAGGCACTCACGTGATGCTGTGGCCGCTATTACCAGTTTTCCGGTATTCTTCCAATACTCCTCTTTTGCAGAAGGGAATTCATGAGCCATAATATTTTTTTCAGGAAAAAGATGCTTAGCGTACTTGTTTAACTGTAAAGATTTACGTATTTAAAAGGCCAAGTTACATATAGAGACACAGAGAGATCTTCCATCTCCTGGTTCCTTCCCTCTATGGCCACAACAGCTAGGGCTGGGCCAAGCTGAAGCCAGGATCCTGGAATTCCACCTGGGTCTCCCACGTGGATGGCAGGGGCCCAAGCACTTGGGTCATCTGCTGCTGCTTTCCAAGGTGTATTAGCAGGGAGCCAGATCAGAAGTGGAGCTGCTGGGACTCCAACCGATACTCGGCTGGGAAGCCAGCATTTCAGCTGGCAGCCCAACCTGCTGCACCATAATGCTGGCCCTACAAGCTGTAATACCTGAGGAGATCTCATCGGTACATTTTAAGATTGTCTCACCTGCCATTTTCACCACGCGTCCTGGAATAAGACCAAAGAAACTCTGCTTTCTCTGCTCTGTATCCTCTTGAGAACTGGGCATTTTGAAGACTTCCTTTTTATCGGCAGTGGGTGGGTAAAAGATAACCACACTTTCTGGACAGTTCAAGTTTTGCTTTAGGAAATCTGGCAGGTTTTCCCCCAGGTGACCACATACTTAGCATTGGTGTAACAAGGCACCAGTGCTTCAGGTGGAGGCATTCACTTTGGCACGGATTGTCCACACAGAAAGAATGCAACAGGTTTCCACAGAATCTCCAGACTTCTTGGGTCACAGAATCTACAGTGACAACATTACCATTTTTCTCAGTTGCAGCAATGCTAGTTCTGAAGCCAGCTATTCTTCAATATTAAATTTCACCTTAAAGGTGTCAGCACCCTCCACTTCCAGTGGGACAGCATAACCCCTTTTAGTGGCTGGATGGTCACACCTCTCCCACTGACAAGCTGAGTTAAGTCAATAAGCTGTGTAGGATCAACTCTTCTCAAATCAGTAAGAGACTGCAATCTATTGAAACTCAAAGGCTGACACTGGTATCTGAAGTGCGGTCCTGGAGTATGGATTGGGATTTAAATTGGTCAAGTTCAGAGGTGGCAAAGACTGGAGCAGGTTCAGAGACCTGGCCCCACAGTGCTGCATAGGACTGGCCATGACTCAGTGTGCCAAGAACTTCCAAGGGCATCCTGAGCTACCCCAGAGGCTACTAATTGTACATCTTTATCTGATGTTTACAAAGTTTTGTCCTGAATTCTCTCTCATATTGAACTGTTTTCCCTGAGATCAGTCCTTCACTATAAATCACTTCTACAGGAGTTTCTAAGGTTGTGATTTTGGAGAACTTGTCATATACAAAGTCTCAATGAAGACACAGAATGAGGACTCCGTATAATTTATAGTGCACATTTTTTTTTTTGGACAGGTAGAGTTATAAACAGTGAGAGAGAGAGAGAGAGAGAGAGAGAGAGAGAGAAAGGTCTTCCTTCCATTGGTTCACTCCCCAAATGGCCACTATGGCCGGCACTGCGCTGATCTGAAGACAGAAACCAGGTGCTTCTCCTGGTCTCCCATGTGGGTGCAGGGCTCAAGCACTTCGGCCATTCTCCACTGCCCTTCTGGGGCACAGCAGAGAGCTGGACTGGAAGAGGAGCAACCGGTACTAGAACCGGCACCCATATTGGGATGCTGGCGCCAGCCACATCACATTTAAAACTTAAAATAAAAAGAAGTATAAGCATCAAGTTCTGAATGCTGGTCTACAACCTGCATGATGAAATATTTGCAACCTTTAACCATCATAGTCAGTCACAGAATCATACAGACTGAATTTTTATTGAGAGGCCATGTTTTACTTGCTTCTGTGGTACCCCTAAGTTACTTAATCACATGTGTTACAGATATTGAGACAAAATACTTTTCAGTAAAAAAAAATAAACACACAATGAATGGATAAAGCTAAGATTAATGTTTGATATCTGGAATTTATTGCCAGGTAATTTTTAGTCAGAATATCAAAGCAAAGTTGGAGTCAATATTGATAATATGCTTTGTTATATCATACTCTCTAAAGTGACTAAACAAAGGTCATGGAACTAGGAATGAATAACCAGATAGAAACAAAAGAATAATTGACCACTTGAGAATTGAGTCTCTTGAAAAATTAGCTGTTTTGTATATGAGTTGAACTGTTAAACATTTACTCCAGAAAATGACACTCCATAATGCTTTTGACTTCAAATCAGATTCCCCAGTGTCATCTGAGGTTTATCCTCAAAGGAAAACAAAACTAAAAGATAGTTATATAACCACTAGCACCTTGATTTGTTACTAAAAGATGAATCAGTTCTCATTCCAAGAGGTAAGGCTTGCCAAGACATTCCCAGGGGTATTGGTTTTCATTCAGCATTTGAAGACACTTTACTGTCTAAGTTAGTTATCTGCACTCACAAGCCATATGAGGACACCGGGCAGATGGAATCAAGCAATCAGCAGTGAGCATCTTGGGCTGAATTATTTGGTGTCCATCATCAGTTCTATGTGAATAAATAAACTTAATATAAGTTATTAGCATTCCCTGTTAATCCACCCATAAGACAGAACTCCTGGTCTTTAAACAGCACCCAAAACTGGCACTTGGTGGAAATGCCAAAAATACGCATTTTTGATGCTTAAAGGTTTACATTGAAGATTTAAAAATATGTTGTAAATATATTTGCAGAAAGATTCACTCTGTTTATGGGTCTAACAGGTCTGAATGAATTATAATCAAGGCAATTATGAGTTAGAAAAAGCTTGATTATATATGCCTGGAAAATCTGGAGATAAAGTCAATCTGTTCACAAGCTCAGTGATTTCTCATAACTTTTTATGCAATACTTTATTTAACCACTTATTATACTGGGCATGCTATTATTTCATTCTCTAAAGCCCCAAAAGAAAATGCTTTTCAGTAAAATGAATTAATTTGTTTGAAGAACCTATTTAAATTATGTGTTAGGTATTAATCATGCCTGTTTTCAGAGAGATTATACTGATACTTTAGACTATATGGTAAAATAATATGATTTTAAATATTTTACAATGCACAATAACTTCATAGTAGGTGACCTCTTTCATAATCCCAATTATAATATCAATTGTATTCAACTGATAGACATTGTGAAACATGTAACAACTTAGGTGACTCATACATTTGCTGTCAGAAGGCTTAAAGGGTCTGCTGTTTACTCGTTTTCAGGTGTGTTCACTCGTTTTCAGGGCTTTATTGTTACTGTTATTTAACTTCATTTATGGCATGGTTACTAAGGCATGGGCAGTCAGATTCTTCAGGGCCCATATTCTGACTCCACCATTTGCTGTATCAACTTGGGCCAGTTCTACAGTTTCTTTCTGACTTTGTTTACTAATATATAAAATAATAATTAAGGTAATAGTTTTACAGAAAAATTAACATACTGTACATATGTATGTATAATCATATGAGATAAAATATGATTATGAATTAGGTCATCTACTATAAATTTACTGGGTACTTTTAACACATTTGTAATGGAAAATATTGTTTTACCAAGTACTTTGAAATAGGAATGAAATCACTATGAAAAGGAATGATATATAATTATATGTATGCATATATAATTTATGTAATTATCTAATATGTACATAATTCTTATCTATATGCTTATCTTTTAGGCAGCATGTAAAATGTTAGCTATTACTGAATTCTTTACCACAAAATTCTATGTATTTTTTTATTTTTCATTATACTAGCAACCATTCTTATTATTTTCCTTAATCTTACAGTTTTATTCTTCTGTTTTAAAGACATTTTCATGTATTTTTTTGAAACAATGTAATAGAAAAAGAAAAGGATATATTATATTAAGGTATTTCTCTGGGGTTTCTGCCAAAAATTTTAAAATTTCAGATAGGCTTATTATGATATGTATTGTTGCTTGGATATCTTTATAATAAAAAGCTATATATGATAATGAAAAGAAAACCATCATATTGGTTAACTTTTTTAAAATTTTATTACTTGTCTGTCTCCTTTTTTTTTTGTTGTTAAATATTTCTTTGATTTATTTGAAAGACAGAGTTAGAGAGAGAGGTAGAGAGAGAGAGGGTGAAAGACAAAGGGAGAGTCTTCCCGTTTGCTGGTTCACTCCCCAGCTGGCTAAAATGGCCAGAGCTGAGCTGATCCAAAGCCAGGATCCAGGAGCCAGGATCCAGGAGCCAGGAGTCAGGAGCCAGGAGCTTCTTCCATGTCTCCAACACGGGTGCAGGGGCCCAAGGACTTGTGCCATCTTCCACTGCTTTCCCAGGCCATAGCAAAGAGCCGGATCTGAAGAGGAGCAGCCTGGACTAGAACTGGCACCCATATGGGATGCTGGTGCTTTAGGCCAGGGCTTTAACTTGCTGTGCCACAGCACCAGCCCCCATATTGGTTAACTTCTAAAATGTACTGTTTTCATCACAGATTCATTTTGTCAGTACCTATGTCGTCCTATGGATTCCCTGGTGGGTGGAAACCACACTGCAGTGTCAGAGTTCATTCTCCTGGGCTTAACAGATGATCCAGGGCTACGAGTCGTCCTCTTCGTGATCATCCTATGCATCTACCTGGTGACCATATCTGGCAATCTCAGCACAATCGTTCTTATCAGAATCTCTTCTCAGCTCCATCATCCCATGTACTTTTTTCTGAGCCACCTAGCTTTTGCTGACATAGGCTATTCATCTTCCGTCACACCTAACATGCTCGTAAACTTCCTGGTGGAGAGAAACACAATCTCCTACCTTGGATGTGGCATTCAGCTCGGTTCAGGAGCTTTTTTTGGGACAGTTGAATGCTTCCTTCTGGCTTCCATGGCATATGACCGCTTTGTGGCAATTTGCAATCCACTGCTTTATTCAACCAAAATGTCTACACAAGTCTGTATCCAGTTATTTGCAGTGGCTTATGTAGGTGGTTTTCTTAATGCGTCTACTTTTACATTCACTTTCTTTTCTTTACTCTTCTGTGGACCAAACAGAGTCAACCATTTTTTCTGTGACTTTGCTCCATTAGTTGAACTCTCCTGTTCTGATGTCAGTGTCCCTGTAGTTGTTCCATCGTTTACTGTTGGCTTCATCATTGCCATCACAGTGTTTGTCATAGCTGTCTCCTACATCTACATCCTCATCACCATCATGAAGATGCGCTCCACTGAGGGGCGCCAAAAGGCATTCTCTACCTGTACCTCCCACCTCACAGCAGTCACTCTGTTCTATGGGACCATTACATTCATTTATGTGATGCCCAAGTCCAGCTACTCAACTGACCAGAACAAGATAGTGTCTGTGTTCTACACAGTGGTGATCCCCATGTTGAACCCCCTCATCTACAGTCTCAGGAATAATGAGATAAAAGGGGCTCTAAAGAGAGAGATTGGCAGTAGAAAATTTTCTTAGTGACCTTTGCTATTTTTTGTAGATTTTGATATAAAAATATCCTATGAGTACAGTAACACGAAACTCAGTAACTGAATGATTGTAGTTAAAATATATCTGTTCCTATATCATTAGTAGGTATTGAACTTCTCAATAAATGTAGGATTTGAGTTTTAGACAAAAAAGTAAATCAGAGACCCTTAGTGTGTTACCTTGATAAAACTAAGTTAAATTTAGAATTGAGAATATATATTATTTACAGGAAAAAATCTGCAACAAATACTTTTTAAATTATAGTCACTTTTTAAAAGTTGTTCTCTAATCTAATTTAAGGTTATTACACTTCAATCTTTTAGACTGTGCCCACTTCAACATTTGCTAATTCCGAGATAAGCCTGATAACTACAGTTATGATTGAGTACATTTTGAGAACAAATGACAAAGTGGAGCCAGATAGGAAACTTGCTGGAAACATTCTTGTAGAAAGGTGATCTGCTGGGGATGAGTTTTGTGGGCTCATAAAATTCTAGTATGTGTTGCTATTTTCTAGTTCTGGGTTAGTTATCAAGAAGAACAGGATGAGATGCCCCTAAAATCTGCGGATTTTTCTGTTAGGTCAAGAACAGGTGACTTCCTCTGCTGGAATGAGCAAGGTTCCTGAACGCCTGAAGACTTACTTAAAAATAAACAAGCTAATTTCCAAAAAGAGAATATAGCTAGTAGCATGACACTGAGCTTGAAGGAAACAGACTTTTGGAACGCCTTGTTTATGGTCAGACCCATAGCTTGCTCAGAAAACCCAAAGGTACTTTGTCTTTCTCTTGAAACTGTGAATGCCCCCAGGAGAGAATTATTCAACATCCATGTGCTGAAAACAACCACATTTATTCCTATTTCTTGTCCCTCTTTATTGTTTCAGACAGAAAATCCATTCTTTCCCCTAACAGAGTAAACAACACTTAAAAATTATATTGAGTAATAATTATATTCCACGTACTGTCCTAGGCTATTGAGGATATGAGTGACAGTCAAAATGTCTCGCCTCATGGAATTTATCTTCTTGTCCAGAATTCAGACAATAAAACTAACAAATAACATAGACTAATAGAAAGGGTTGAGTACTACAGAGAAAGGAAAAATTTAGCTAAATACAGAGTGATGTGCAAGAAGCAGGAAGTGGCTGGTGCATATCTCAACAGGAATATAATACCTGTGGAAGGATCTCAGGAAGTGACAACTGCTCATACTGAATTTGTTGTTGCCTGTGAATTATGTGAGTCTAATATTTCATTCATATACATGTAATTTTTTTGATGTTTCTATTCCAACAATGGCAGGGTTTGTCATTTTAATCAGTCCCATGGTGAGCACATCTAAAACAAATAATAAGAACACACATACCCTAAATATCAAATAGATCTTATGGCATTAAATGGAAGCTTCATGATAAGAAAGGTTGAAGACCCAGGGAACTACACTTAACACTTAAACATTATTTTGCCAAGAGAGAATTTGCCAAGTCAGAATAAAGTGTTACTACATTTGATCTATGTGGCTTATCTAAAAACAAATCAAAACAAAACCAAAACATGATCTGCTGAGAAACTGGATTGATATGCCTGACACATATCACAAGGGAGAAGAGATGTGAAGTAAGCAGTCATTGCAAAGATTTGTAGCCATGGAAGTCATGGAAGTCTCAAAGCTTGGTCAAGAAGAAGTAGTCTCTTCTGTTGAGGAACTGTGTTTTTTTTTTCTTCATACTATTTGTTAAACTCTTTTCTTAGCGTAGAGTTAACTTTACGAGTGTTAAAAGGAAGTAGATCTTTGTAAAATTAAGAGTGGAAATAGTAGAGGAAGAAGACTTGTTGGAGCATGGGCAGAGGGAGAGTAAGGTGGGAAATATCACTTTGTTGCTAAATCTGTATATATGAAATATCTGAAGCTTGTGCAATTTAAAGAAATTAAGAAAATAAACCTTTGTTAATATGGGAAAAAATAAAATAAATGAAAATAAAAAGAAATAATATCTGAAAGTGAAGAAATAAATAAATAACATAAGCAGCAATTATTCCTAAATAATACACCAAAATGAGGGTTAGTAGAGACAACAGAAACACTAAAAGACTAAGATTTAAAATATGGGAATTAATTAACACATACTATATTTCTTTGATAAAAATGATAAAAAGACTACTTGAAATGTACACAACCACAGAAAATACATAATAATGACTAATAGCATGCAGTACAATCATATAGAACTTAGTACTAGAAAATTAACCATGCTAGTACAGTTATACCAGGCATTTTTGTTTGGTGAGCATAGCCCTCATGGGTTTTTACATAGGATTACAAGTGACCACACAGGCAGAGAAGTCATCCTAGCTTGGCAGCCTCATGACCCTAACTAGAACCAATATATCTTGTAGTTATGTCAGGTACAGTCCCATGGCCATGGTCCCTGCAAGGGTAGTTTGTACGTTTTATTTTTTGTAAGATTTATTTATTCATTTGAAAGGTAGAGTTATGAGGAAAAGGGAGAGAGGGAGAGAGAGAGGGAGGGAGGGAGGGAGAGAGGGAGGGAGGGAGGGAGGATTGTGTTTCGATCCACTGATTCACTCCTCAAATGGCCATATTGGCTGGGGCTGGGCCAGACCAAAGCCAGGAGCCAGAAGCCTCATCCTGGTCTCCCATGTTGGTACAGAGGCCAAGGCCTTGGGCCATTTTCTGCTGCCTTCCCATGTGCGTTAGCAGAGACGTGGACTGAAAGCGGAACAATGGGGCTTAAATCTGTGTCCATATGGGATGCTGGCACTGCAAGTGGCGGCTTTCCCCACTGTGCCATTGTGCTGGCCCTTGTTTACATAATTAGGAATCACTGCATCCAGGATAGGTTACAAGAGAATGTACCCCAAATGTTGTATTGTCAGGGTCAGCACCGTGGTGCAGCAGGTTGAGCTGCTGCCAACATCCCATATCAGAGTGCCTGGTTGTGTCCTGGCTCCTTTGTGTCACTGATCCAGCTTCCTGCTAATGGTGCTGGGAGGCAGCCCATAATGGCTCATGTACCTGGGTTCCTGCCAGCTATGTGGCAGACCCCATTGGACTTTCTGGCTCCTGACTTCAGCTTGGCCTTTGCTATTGCTAGATTTTGGGGAATGAACCAGTGAATGGAAGATTCACCTTCTCCTTCTCTTTCTTAAATACATCTCTAAAAACAATGTTTTTGTTATAAGCAATGTTGCATTAACACAGCTAATATTTCATTTTTTACAAGTCAGGGGAAACAGGAAGTTTATCCATGGTCTAATTTTTCATCAGAAAAGTTAAAATATTTTGTTAACTCTATGCTAAAATGTATGATACATGTCCTCAGGGATCTTCAGTACTATGTAATTTAAAGTAGACATCTGAAAAAATGTATTATTTAAGATTCTTTACTGGATCATAGACAAAACATAGGGATCCAGGATGGGGTTATTTGAGCAATGAGCCTGGTGATGATGGGATGCAAAAAAGCACCTGTTCTCTCAAGTATCTATTAGGTATCTAAACTTTTAAGTCAACAACAGGTGTCACTGTGCACTTACTCCTCATGTAGGATTTCTGTCCTTAGTGTGCTGTACATTGAGATTTAATGCCATAACTAGTACTCAAACAGTATTTTGCACTTTATGTTTCTGTGTGGGAGCAAACTGTTGAAATCTTTACTTAATGTATGCTATACTGATCTTCTGTATATAAAGAGAAATGAAAATGAATCTTGATGTGAATGGAAGGGGAGAGGGAGTGGGAAAGGGGAGGGTTGCAGGTGGGAGGGACGTTATGGGGGGGAAGCCATTGTAATCCATAAGCTGTACTTTGGAAATTTATATTCATTAAATAAAAGTTAAAACACACACACACACACAAATAATGAAGAATCCAGAATTGCCATTAAAATAAGTACTCTAAAAATCTACTAGCGAAAATGCAATCAATACACACTTATACGTCATTTTGCAATTGGGATGTCTGTGTATTTTCAATTTATCCTATAATCATGCTGTAACTTTTTAAAAAAACATAGTGATTCCAGTCTTATACTACATTGGATGAATTATTTCTAAGTGAATTATTTCCTAAATGATAATAAAAGATAGTATCTTTCAAATAATCTGAGAAAATATTTATGACTGATCATAGATTAACACATTTTACAAAAAATCAAATATATTACATCTGAAAAATGGATATATTTGAATAAAGTCAAATTAAGCATTTAATTAAAATTATTAGGGAAATTTAAAAACAGATCATAGAAAGAAAATATTGGCAACATATTTAATTACAAAATGGCTCATATTAGTTGTAAGTAAAATTCATATATATCAATAAGAAGGCAGGCTGATCACTTTACCAAGTGAGATGGCATTGGTATATGCCTCCTTGATGAGATTGAATTGGAATCCCCTGGCACATTTCTGGCAAATGCCCTAAATAGCACTCCGGCCTCAGAATCAACCCTTGGGAAATTCGGATCTGGCTAAAAGGCCCACGAGAGTCTCGCAGACATGGAAAGCCAAGACGCTGTGGCAAAAACGACCTGAGTGAAAGATCTCAGTGAATGAGATCCCAGCAGAAAGGACAGGCTATCAAAGAAGGAGGCACCTTTCTCTGAAGGGAGGAAGCAACCTCCACTGTGATATGGCCTTGACTAAATACGTTAAGAGTTGGTGAACTCAAGAGGCTTCCATAGCCTTGACAGCTCATGGCAAGAGCCTCGGGTGATTACTGACGTCATAAATAAGAGTATCAGTTGTTAATTCAACAACAGGAGTCACTGTGCACCTGCTCCCTACGTAGTATCTCTGTCCTTAATGTTTTACTATGAGAATTAATGGTAACACTACTAGTCGAACAGTTCTCTACATCTTGTGCAATTGTGTAGGTGCAGTCTGTTGAAATCTTTGCTTAGTATATACTAAGTTGATCTTCTGTATACAAAGATAATTGAAAATGAATCTTGATGAAGAGTGGGAT